TTTGCATATATCCTTTCCGCGGCGGGATTTCCCGAGAAATCGGGCACCTCAAAGGGCCTGAGGACTTTCGACCTGTATCTCTACGAAAACACAACATAATGACATGTAGCTGACCATTTTCCTATACTACGAAACGAGGTCGAGATGCCTACAGAAATAACGGGACGAAACGACCGCTATATTGCTCCCTCAGAAACAGGGCCCTGTGGGGCTGCTCTCTGCTCGACTTTTCGAGCCCTACTCCACAACGCGGACACATAAAAATAAGCGGACACCACAGGTCTATGCCGAACGCAATTGCGAAGGTGCGAGAGCAAGATTCGAGCGAAAACGGTTCAATTTTCACAGTGTTGTCCTGGGTGCCAGCAATGAGAGATGGCTCAGATTTCGGGCTAGGGAACGTGAATGCGTGCATATTTCGATGAACAAATTGTACGCGTCCATTCAGTGGCAATGGTATGACCTGCTACAAAAAGATTTGGCCCGAAACGACCTTGTTTTCATTGCAGAACATCTTGCCCCAGTCCGGGGGGCCACACTGTGCCACACTCCGAACCCGGCAAGTCCCGGTCTGCCACGTCGTGAACGCGTCTCGAGTCGCATCGCGTCGCATCCGAACTCGCCTCTTCCCCTCACGCTCCCTTCTTCCCATCCCCGCCATGGTGGACCATCGTCGCCAGAAGCGAGAGGAAGAGAGAAAGAAGAAGGCACGTAAGCAGGCCACTCAGGCTGCACCTAATAATAGCCGGACCACTCGCTCTACCTTGTCTCAATCTGCCGCTTCTGCTCAGTCTGCTCGCTCTTCTGCTTCTGCTTCTGTTACTCGTCCTAAGCCTCGGCCTGTTATCAGACTGAAGCCTCCGGTAGCCCCAGTCCCCAATGATCCAAGGGATGAGCTTACACCACCACCCCAGGTCTCTCAGGAAGAAGTCGACAATGCAGTTGATGCGCTCCTTGGTGCTCGATTGAATGCCCAGGATCCTGTTGAGGCACTGAATGGGGCACAGCGGGAGGTAGATCAGGAGGGTGCACTTGACGAGGAGGAAGTAGGTGTGCAAGGAAGGAAGAGAAAAAGGAATGAGCATGGACAGGAGGAGGGTGAGGATGTGGACTTTGACAGTGGGGGTGCTGATGAGGGCGAGGACGAGGAAGAGGCCGAGCACGAGGAAGAGGAAGAGGAAGAGAATCAGGGTGAGGATGAGGAGGATGAGGACGAGGAGGATGAGGACGAGGATGGGCAGGATGGTGGTGTGGCAAAGGTGAATGGAAATAGTGACGAGGAGGAGGAGGAGGAGGAGCAAGATAGTTCAGACTCGGATGATGGTATGTTTCTCTCTATCTTTTTCTTCATCTCTTTTTCTCAATTGGCTGGTAATAGGAGAAATTCCTATTGTCTATGCTGTTCCATACGATGGTGCGGTCGAGAATGTTCTACTCAACTCCAACGTTACCTGGGCATTCCTCCAAGAGACGATCGCTGAGAAGATGAAAGTCCCTCTCCGAAAACTTCACCTCACCTACCGACTTAGCTCTGAGCCCAAGGCAGCACCCCTTCATCACTTATCCTCTCCTCTTCACTACATCGAGCTCATTCAGGCTGTGCGTGATGAATTGGCGTTCCGTGCCCGATATAAGGGGAAGGCAAAGGTCACAGCACTTCTAGTTCAGCTTACGGATATGTCGGAGAAGGAGAGTGGCGGAAAAGGCAAGGGCAAAAATCCTGCGAAGAAGAAGCAGAAAGTATGTCCGTTTTCTCATCTGCATATTTTGGTTTTGTCTAATGTTGATATCAGACCTCGTCTTCAAATGTGGCGGGCTCATCTGATGTAGAGGATGGTGAAGATGTGGCAGAGACAGCACTGAAGTCTCGCAAGAAGAGTGCTACGCAGTGGGTTGCGAGGATTATCGAGGATGTCCCCGACTGCAATGCTCATCCCGGTCGAGTTTGTATCAAGGAAGGTGACATCCACGATACGCTCACTGATCAACAAGTGTCATGGTGGAGTGTTATGCTGGTACGGTTTCTTTTTATATTCTGTTGTCTGCTTTTCTGGACTATTCATTAGCTCACATTTCCATCTTCCTCCTTGTGTTTCTGATAGACACAAGGCTATACCTCAACAACTATCCCACCACGAGGCCTCAACTTTGGCGATAAAAAGAAGCCAGAGAGACCCTCTTCATCTAAAACTCAGCCCGACCTTCCTCCACAGCCTATGTATCATTACCCACCCCCATACTATCCGCCACCACCTCCTACTCCTCAGCGCTACGGTGATCGCTTCAACACTGACGTTCGGAGCTCTGATGGTGCCTATGAGGAACTTGAAGATGTCACTCTCTATCCTCGTCTTCCCGAATGGCTTCAAGGGTTAGATGATGGGATACGTGGTAAGGATGGGCAGAACTTTGCACAATTTGATGCTGCATTGGTTGGCGCAGGATATAGGCGGATTTGTGACTTGCAGGATGAGAAGCTAGTCACAGCTAAGATGTTGCGGAAGGATTGTGGTATAATAAGCGGGGTCGCGGTTAACATCTTAAGGTGGGCGAGGCAAGATGTGTCCAAGATCAAGGACACCGAGCGACGACGCCTTCATGAGCTAAAGCGTGCACCTAAGCGATACACTTAGATTTCTTATGTTCTCCTTTTTCTTATACTTAATATGGCTTTCATATATGCTAATAATCTCTTACATGTTTTCTGATTGATATAACCCCCACTCACTAGAAAAAAGTCTATCTCAATGATCTACGGACCACCTCTTTTACTTCATTTTGGCTCTCATGTATTATTGTATACCCTTCTATACCCATAATAATACTACTGGTTTTATATATCATGAGTATCATGCAAACTAGAAATATCCACAGTGCTCAAACCACCCATAAGCATCCTCCGCTGTGATTGACCATACCGCTTCCATTAAATATCTGTACACTCCAATATTATCTTCCTCTGACATAGCGGCACGAACAACATCTCCATTTCGACGGATCCAAGCTTTGATTGTGGAGAAAGCCAACTCGATAGGATTGAAGTCGGGGGAGTACGGTGGAAGGAAAATATATCGCATTCCACTGGACCAAAAAGTTGTAGGTTATTATCACATTCAAATTCATACGGAAAACAGACAAACCGATCTTTAATCATCTGAAGAATTTCGGGACTCTTGTGAATTCGACAATTGTCCATCACGATAACAGACTTTGGTTGTGGATACGGGTTCATCCGATCAAGTAGCCCGTCGATAAACTTTGCAAAACGAAGCTTGTTGTAAGAGCCCTCGACAATGTCTACGGCCAGGATCCCGTCCATCGTCAATGCCGGAAGGATAGAGTAACTAAAAGATAAGAGATGGAGTATCAGAATGATAATAGCCTGCACATGAACGAATATAAATGACATACCGCTGCCCGCGCACAAAAAATGCCTTTCGAACAGCTCGCCGTCCTTTGATTGCCCATCCATATCCTCGGTAGGATGTCCGGCGATTGCATGCACTCTCATCTACTGCCACAATCTGATCTGGAGTATATTGAGTACCAATCTTGAATATGAATTTTGCGCGTTTGAGGGCATTCCGCTCCATAGCCTCATGAGTGAGCTATTAGACTTTGTCAATTTACACAACATCGAATAAGAGAATATATGATCATACCTTCTTCAGGGTATAGCCCCCACGTTCCAATGTTCTCCAAACTGTATGTTCAGATACACTTGCTCCACATATATCTTGCAGAGCATCACAAAGCTCATCAAGATAAGAATCACATCCACCGTTGTTGACACGTCCATGAAGGAACTGGACATAAAAAGATAGAACAAATGATGAAATATGTATAGACTCACAGCAATTTCCTCATTGCGTAAGTGCCTATGACGACCATGTGGTAAGTTTTGACTGGTGTCTTTTATGACAGTTCCTGTGTCCGCAAAACGTTTGACAATGGTCTTGATAGACTTCTCCGAAACATTAGCAAATGCAATGATCTCGGTCATTGGCATACCACCAAGAGTCATACGTAATATAGTCCAAGCCAAGTCTTCGGATATCTTTTTTCCCTGTGCCATAGTGAAAGCTGCCACCAGAGAAAGGGACTATTTACGAAGGGAAGAGGCGAGTTCGGATGCGACGCGATGCAACTCGAGACGCGTTCACGACGCAGACCGGGACTTGCCGGGTTTGGAGTGTGGCACAGTGTGGCCCCCCGGACTGGGGCAAGATGTTTTTTTTT